AAATAATTATGTGCAATTCAATTAACTTCACTGTGACTTAAGAGGGACTTTTAAATGAGGCCTACAATAATTTGTAGTAGGTATTTACTGTCCAAACTTAAAAAAACATATATTTTTTGTCAGTTTGACGTTTGACGCATTAGCATTGTACCATCATATCTCTTGTATTTTCAGGAAAGAACCAAGTCACGATGGGGAGAAAGACGCAACAGAAACTTCTCACGTCTCAATGCTGTGTGGTCGTAGAATAGTGACAATTAAAGATATTTTCATTAGATAATCATAGTCCTACAGGTTGTAGTTTCAAAGATTTGACATTTTTGCGGGAAAAGAGAGTTGGACTGAAGAGTGGTTTTGTATTTAAATGTTCCATGTGCAACATAACAAAGGTTATTTGGTCAGAAACAAAGAAAAATGATTTGATGGATGTAAATACAAGTGCTGTTAGTGGAACTATGGCAACAGGTGGGGGCCATGCTCAATTAGAGGAAGTTTTTTCCACAATGGACATTCCCCCGATGAGCAACAAAACCTTTAAGAAAATAGAGGACAAGGTAAATATAAATTATTTTAGGGAAACATTTACTGTATGTCCACTTATTTGCTTTGGATATAACGTAAGTTAAAAAGTTTAACCAATCCTTTATCCAATATCATATAATTCATTTCACGGCTGTTTGTTTATCACTATTATTAACTTTATTTGATGTAAAATTATTATTATTATTCAAGATTTGCCATTTGCTACAATAACGTCGTATATTGGAGACCGTTACTAAGTTGTAGTTATTTTTTTTTTTTATATATGTACAATAGTTAATATTTAATTATATAACTACCTTTTAGGTAATCTCGGAGTTGGTAGCTACAGCTGAGTGTGAAATGAAAGAAGCAGCACAGGAAGAAGCAAGACACGCAGTAGAAAATGGAGAGGTTGACGAAGATGGCACGCCGCTTCTCACTGTCGTTGCTGATGGCAGCTGGTGCAAAAGGTCCTACAGATCTAATTACTCGTCACTGTCAGGAGTGGTAAGTAGGTTTGACCCCCCGTCTGGGCAAACAAATGTTGTGCTAGTTTTTTTAGAATTTTTTTACGAAATATTTAATCAATTTACTCAACTAATAATTACCGTAAGCTTTTCATACAAAATCTTTTATTATTTTGTGTTAAATTAAACGGTTGGTTGGATATCAGTTTTGTTATGGTTAGTTAGCCATCAGCAGGGACGTAACTAGGGGGGGGGGGGGTGAATGATAAATGCTATATAACTGTTATTTTACTGTTTACGAATCATAACGGTACGTATGAACTTGTACGGTGCGAGAATGAGGATAAGCATACTGCGTTATCTGTCTGTCGTCGATGAGTCACTAGGACGGCGCCGGCGCGGCGTCAAAACACTTCCACACCTCTCCCGAAACCCACCTACCCCTCCGCACACCATCCCTCACACCAGTCACCACGCACACACACACACACACATACTACAAACACAACACTAGCAATACTAGTAATATTATTAGTTACTAGCAATATTATTTTCGTGAATCATTTCGTTTTCAAATGAAATATTTGTCTTTGAAAATACGAACCATATTGCATTCAATTATTTACCACCTATACAGTATCTAGGCCTTAATACTTTGAACTTGGGGTTAAGCATTTTAAGATCTAAATACTGTTGTATTAATGTATTGCACCGATGGACACACCACACATTTTTTAAGAAGATTTGTAAGGAATTGGGTTCAGTCCAATTGAAGGGGGGGGGCCAAAATAGGTGTTTGCCCCGGGTACTGAATAGCCTAGTTACGTCCTTGGCCATCAGTATTTTTGGATGGTTGGGCCATTGTTGGAGAATGGTTGGTTGGAAAACAGTTCAAAGTGATGGCATTTCTACCGTTGGCCAACTGTGTGGCTCTACAATTTACCAACGTTGGCCCAACCATCTGTGCTACATGGGCTTGCGAATAATCACCTTTCACTCCATCACATCAAATTGGGTGTGACAGGTTTATTGCTACGAGGGTATTTATCTGTTCTCAAAAGAAAATAATTCTCTATTATAAAAAATTGGCAACTAACGCGTGTATGTAATGTGTACTACTAAGGTTTTTGGGTTTTTATTTACAGGCGGCTATTGTCGGCCACAATACAAAAAAGGTGCTGTACATGGGAGTAAAGAATAAATATTGCACTCCATGCTCCCGAGCTGCATCTTTAGGAAAGGAGCCAACAGAGCATACCTGCTACAAAAACTGGGAGTCAACCCAGAGCTCTTCTAGCATGGAACCTGCCATCATCGCAGACGGCTTTCAACGTAGTGAAGAGATGTATGGAGTGAGATACGCTCGTCTTATCGCAGACGGCGACAGTAGCGTATACAAAAGGATTAGAGAGAGCAGACCATATAAAAGTATTACTGTTGAAAAAATAGAATGTAAGAACCATTTGCTGCGAAACTTCTCCAACAAGCTAAGGCAAATTGCAGTTACATCGAACAAAAACAAAAACAGTATCCTTATGAGGAAAAAATTGGGTGAAAACGTTTTCCGTTGTAGAATGGCTGTCCAAAAAGCCCAGGAATACAGGAAGAAACAAGATTTGCCAAACGTAGAAAAGATTAAACAGCTGAGGCTGGATATTTTGAATGTACCCAGTCATGTATTTGGACAGCATGAGCATTGTAGAGAAAGGGGATACTTTTGTACAAAGGAAGCGCAAGATGTAAATAGTGAAGGAAATTTTGTTCCACAGTTAGTGTCCGCTGGATTGTATAATTTAATCTGTGATGTTATTCGTGACCTGAGCCGCCATTCACGGAGTTTGATCACGGATGTAACCTCTAATGCAGTTGAGCACTACAATTCTATCGTGGCTAAGTACATAGGAGGAAAACGGGTGAACTTCGCCATGAGAGGATCGTACCAAGGACGGTGTTCAGCGGCAGTTCTTCAACATAATACAGGAAACACCCACTACGTACTCCACAAGCACATGTACAAAGCTAGCCCTGGATATTATACCAAAAGTACAGGTTTGAAAAGAAAAAGAAAGGTTGAGCAAGGACAGGGACAGAAAAAATCAAGAAAGACATTGTTTCAGGTGAGCTCTAACAGCGATGCGGATTATGGCGTAGCAGCCCAAAAGCCGGACATCGACGAGGAAACAATGAAAATGGAAACCGAAGAATTTCTAAAAAAACTTCAACGATCAAAAGAGGAAAGAATTCGAATCGAGCGAGCCACCGTCGAACAAAGTGACAGTGGAGAGTGGCTCGAAATACGCCGTAACCTATTGACCGCCTCTAATTTTGGGCGTGTATGTAAAATGAAACCAACGACCGGTTGTGGTTCGTTGGTAAAGCAATTATTATACTCTACTTTTGACTGTGAGTCAATGGCCTACGGCCGCCAAAATGAACCGGTGGCCAGAGAAGAAGCTGCTTCTTTATTACAGAAAACGATACAACCATGCGGCTTGTTTATCGACGACGAAAAACCTTTTTTAGGGGCATCTCCTGATGGGTTAATCGACGATGATGGCTTGATTGAGATCAAATGCCCATCTTCATGCAAAAACCTGACACCGGATGAAGCAGTCATCTCCAGAAAATGTACATTTTGGAAAAAGGAAAAGGATGGAACGATTGGTGAAATAAATAAGGGGCATGACTTTTACTACCAAATGCAAGGCCAGTTGAGCATTACAAAACGACGTTATTGCCAGTTTGTACTGTGGACAACTAAAGGAATAAAAATGGAAAAAATCGAACGAGATGATGAGTTCTGGCAAAATAACATGGTCCCTAAGTTAGAGAGATTTTATCTCAATTGCATTCTACCTGAATTAATTGATCCCCGCCATTGCAGATCAATGGAAATCCGAAATCCGTCGTATATTGTTAATGCCCAGGAAAAGCAAAAAGCATCTAAGAAGACAAACAAAAGCGATGGTTAAATGTCATCATAGCTTGTAAAATGATCATTCATTTTTGTACATATAATTATTTTTAATACATGTTTGTTTTGATTTTTTTTTTTAAAGACTCATTAACATCAACTACATTGTAAAGCCGAAATAAATAGTTTTCTAAAGGAAAACATGAGTATTGAATTGACCATACCCATTTCCATCAAATTATTTAAACTCAGTTATATAAATTGAGTGTAAATGAAAACTCAATTCCATAGAAGAACTTTTAACGTAATGTAATAAAACATATATTGAAAAAACAACAATTAGTTATGGTATCTCATTTATGAAATAAATAAAGTAATGAATAAATAAATAAATAAAGCTATGAAATAAATTGCATATTTGCATAAACGTAAAATTTCAAATTTAATTCAGTTTTACCAAAATAATATAGTAATAATTACCGGCTTCTCGCACGCACTACATACATTTTAAAACTAAAAAATAAAATTTTAAAACGTATAAATTAAATTTGTACGTTAAAAATTAGCGTAGAATTGCAGGCCGAATGTTTGTTTGTGTAAAAAGACAGATTCATTCGACCCGTCGCGTCGGCCACAGTATTGCACCATTTAGAAATGTACGAACTGTCCATTTTTCAACACTGCTCTAACCATGGAAGATACGATCAATAGGCTCAAGGTCAGAAACTAGCCGTGCGGGTTGCGGACCGTACAAATGCAGGAGTCGCAGATTGACGATTTTCAACCTGACTCCTGCCGCCTCTTAAACCCAATTAACCGAGCAAGGCTCAATCCCCTGTGATTTACTGGTCACTGATGGTACTGTGATTTAAAAAGGAAATAAATCTGACAATTTTAAGGGAATATTTTAGTGGGAATCTAGCCATGAATACGGAAATTTGCTAAGTCTGCAGGTTTGCTGCAGTGGGGGTATTTAATGTTGCCATTGTAATACAAATCTTTTTCTCTGTGATTAATAGAAGTTTGTCGACTTATTACTCATATCTTTATTAATAAACTACAACATAATTTGGTATGTCTTGCTACTATATGCCTACCTTGTTCAGCAGTCTTGAAGGAGGGCCAGCTATCTTGGCTCTGTACCACTTTCCATCAGTGCTAAACTTCGCTAAGTACATTTTAGTATGTGAGAGATTGAAGTTTGAGAGCTTCAACTCGCTCAATCTTTCAGTACTTAAAGATTCGAGGATTTCCAAAATTCTGTCCAGTGCGGGACCGAGGCAAGTTAAGTACACCTCTCCTCTATTTGAAACGTGACCTATCGCAAACTCCCTAGCTTGCCCTTCCTGTAAAAGATTAAATGGCTTTTTAGAATTTATTTTCTGTGAAGAGATAGAAACAACTATATTTTAATTGTGTTATTGTTGACTATAGTCATTCAGGAAATAAGATATTGTATTTATGGTTGTTGTAGGTACACTTGTTAATTTTAAAATCGTTGATTGATTGATAGTACAGTCAATGATAGTATACTCTGTTAATAAAAATTTAAATAACATATTAAATACTAAACATTATTCAATCTACAGTCGAAGGTCGATTGGGAATCATATTGTGTAAATTGTATGTTGTCTGTCTAGTATCTACACTGCTGTACAGTTCTGCCATTGCTTGCTACACGAAAAACGAACGCAGACAAATACTTTTGCGGTCAAGTCAATAGTGGCAATAGTTGCTCGCACTGAACTAGAGCTACAACCGTACTGAAGGTAGCACTGAATGCCGAGAATTACAAGAAGTTTGTTCCCATTTGTACTAGAGGAATAGTAGTACTTTGAAACTAGGAGATTGTGGGATTGCAATTAAGCCAACAGCCAATTTGATTCTTTTAGTGATACCAACATAACAACATTTTACAGGGTCTCGATTTTCTAGCAGAGTTGCCTTGCCAGTGCTACCTCAATTGTTTTCAGTCTACAACTATTTGGTTTCGTAAAAAGCAAGAGCGGTTCCCTGATTCTGTATACTTATCAGACTTGGATACGATATTTAACTGAGAGCGCACAATGATTTTAGGCCTACATGAACTATGCCGGTTGTCTGACTCAGAATTTAAACGAACAAAAAGACATTGATCATGGCAACTTCCTTAAATATGAGTTTTTATATGGAATCGGTATGGAGAATCGTGAGTAATATTTCAGAACTGATATCGAATTGAGAACTTCTATTTCCCTATTTAAAAAACAACTAGGACATAATTCACAAACCATGGCCTTGAGTTTTGAGACCACTATAAGCTTTGCGGCACTAGGAGTAAACTCTCTCTCACTCACACACACAACAATCTCAATATCACTGCATTCAGTTTCACAAGACTCGCCCCTTGTGTCGTCTTCAAGCGACATATGTGGGGTTTTAAGGTTTTCACGCTTGAGTAGGAACTCTGTAGACGGCAGGGGAATTATACTAAATGAAAATGTTGAAACTTGTCCACCGCTATAATAAATGTCTCAATTTTTTTGGTGGATATGTGGGAATGTAGTATTTTAGTTGCTTTTTCAAATGTATATAATATAATATTTATCTTGTAAAGCCATTTCATTTAGATTTACTAACAAAAAAATAGTTACTGAAAGATAAAATGTAAACTTACAGGTGGTAGTTCATTCTTGGTACTTAGTATAATTTCATCTTTGAGTTTTAAGTTGACGTCAACATCATCCTCTCCTGATGTATCATAAAGAGACACTGTGACATAGCCATCCATTTCGTTTCTGGATGTAATCTTGGCTATGAGCACCTTTTCTAAAAGCAAATCACTAAAGCTGACAACTTGGTTTGCCACAGGGTCATCAAAGAAAACTTCAAGTCCATCCAGGGTACATTGAACAGCCTGAAAACAAAGAGAATCTAGCATTGTAATAGAAACAAGTCTTACCATTACCATTACCAACTGGCGATCGTTGACCAGATGTCTGGATTGATCTTGTTAGATAAAATTTACTTTTAAAAAGTAAATAAACTAATATTTACAATATTTACAGTACTTAGTAAAGTATTCCTCAATGGAATAAAAACACTTCCTACTCAGCCATTGTTTTAGTTTGACTTTAAATGGTTCAAGAAGGAGTTCTTTAATGTGGAGGGCAGTCTATTGTAGAGCTTGTGTGCTAACACTGGAAAGCAGTCCTTGGTCTTTGATAGCCTACATCTCGGGACATCCACATTCCCTGCAGAGCGCAGGTTGTAATTGTCCACTGTGCATACCTTAAACTATGGCATTACCTGTTAACTACTGTATTAAAGTAAAATAAATTTTAAACTTTAAGGATAGTTGTACAGATAGAAAATCAATATTAAGCTGTTACATCTTCTAAACATATAAAAGTGAAAGCCCTCACTGACTAATTGATTGCTCGATCATTAATTCTCATACTTCCGGACTAGCTAGAAGCCTGAAATTTTGTATACTTATTATTTAAATATCAAAAATACATGATGAATTTACTACAGAGTAACACCCTGAAGTTCCAATGTTATTCTTATGGAGGTTCAACTTTTTGCTATTTGAGTATCACCATATAGGCCTACCATATTTTGAAACGTTTGTTTTGTTCCTTTTCTTATTAAGATTAATATATTCTGGATTAATTTGTAAAGTTAACTTGTCAAATGTTTTGTGTTCGGTTACTGTCAATTTTAGCGAATTTCTCTATAGTTATTACCGTAGGTCTCATGGTAAGACTTGAGCCTAGGGCCGATTTACTTTTTCATTTTGATATCCCCAGAGGCTAAAAACACTATTCGTTCAAATTATTATATATACAGTAGAACCTCGCTAATTCGAACCTCGATAATTCGAAAACCTCTATAATTAGTAATGTTTGTCTGTTCAACTCAGAAAACCTCTAAAATAAAAATAAATAATATACCCATAGTTCAAAGTGAGTTTTACAGTTAATGCAGCCAGCCTCTACAATTAAAATTTGCAAATAATGGGACCTCTTAAATTTGAATTATATTGCCGAAATTCGAACCATTATCTCCAAAATTCAAAGTCAACCTTTACAATTTGAACTGCGTTACCGTAAAGTCTCTGTAATTTGAATTCAGGACAAAAAATACACCTGTTGAAACCTGAACTGACGCCCTTAATGATGTCTCCATTCTTTCAAACTCTCTACACTTAAAACTGGGGCCTCCATAATTCAAAATATATTGTCTTTCTTCTGAAATTCAAATTAGCGAGGTTCTACTGTATCTATTATATATATATGTGTGTGTGTGTCTGTGTCCATGAACACGAGTGCTTGAGTAATTTGTGTTCGATTTTGATGAAATTTGGCTTAAAGGGGTGAGGCGGGATAAACTTATGGGTGATGGGGGGGTCTTATGGGGTAAAAATTAGGTTTTCTCATTTTTGACCCTTAAAACACAAAATTTTCCCAATTTCTCTGAATACCATTTTAAGGAGCTTAAAAAGACAAATAATTTAGTATAACAAAGTGTTATGTACGGCTATTTGTTACGGGAAAAATTCAAAAAATTGTAAATTTAAAATTTCCCATGTTATTCTTATGGAGAATATTGTAAAAGTTGTAGTTTGCTTGTTTATGGATATATTTTGATCAAACTTGGCAAATTTATTTATTTTATCCTAAGCTATTAATATTTTACAAAAAAAACTCACTTTTTTAGCCTCCCCGAAGGACAAAGATTTGCTGACCAGTATTGAACAACTTGAAAGGACTGAGGACTCACAGTGTTACAGGAGACAACTATATCATTACAATCAAGAATTGCTTAAGCCCACAACAAGGGTTCTACCTGCAAATTGATTGCAGTGTCTGAATTGTTTAGCTTTTGGTTCTGAGTGTTTTATAATAGCGGAAGTTATTTTGTTCATTTGTAAAGGGGAGTGGTACCACCACTCCATATATCAAGGAGTGGTGCTTTCTCTACCAATACTTTTAAGATCTTGTATGTATCCTTGGTGAGACCAATTCTCGAATACTGCTCCACTGTATGGTCTCCGTTCCAAATTGGCCATATTTCCTTGGAAATGGTCCAAAAGCGCTTCCTTCGCCTGTTTGGTGTTCGAGCAGGGATTCGCTATACAGATGTAAATACTGATCAGGTTGCAGCTCAACTATAATTGCTGCCACTTTCATCAAGACGAACTGCATTGGACCTGATTTTCCTGTACAAAATTGTCAACTCACTGGTGGACTGCCCCAAGATTCTTCAGATGTTGAACTTGCAGGTTCCTCAGAGAACATGGCTACAGAACGTCTTTGCCAAGCTGCACTACCCTATCTCCTACATGTACCAGAGTCCTGTACCTCGTCTAATGCGTATCGGAAACAAATCCCACCTGGAGTTCTTCGGAGTTGGTCATGCTGTCTTCAGAAGAGATGCGTTTTTGAGTGTTATGAGCCCTGCATGTAGTGAGTCAACGTAGTATTGCACCTTGTGTGTTTTTTTTTTATGATCAAGCTTGGTTAAATTACACATTACCTCTCGTTCATGTTGATCCTGTTCTTGTGTTTGTTTTGGTCAGAGTCTACTTGTTACTATTGTATGCACTATTTATTAGTATTTTATTATGTCTTGTTTATTATATATTGTATGCATCTTGTGTCTCATTTCAGTTGTATGTATTTGCTCGTTAACCACCTGTACTATTTTTTGTAATGCTAACTTCTTTCTTTTTTTTGTTTTTGGTTTGGAGTCCGATTTTTCCTCACTATTGTATGTACTATTTATTAAGTACCTGGGGACCGAGCGAGGGAAATCATTAGTTTACTCTGAAAGCAGTCTTAGTATTGCAGATACATAAATCCATTCCCAAACTCCACACTGCTCGCCTTTACTACTTCCTTCACCACTCCCTGCGTCATGGACCGGTTTCCCTCCCTTCCCATTGCATGTTAGGATTGCAGATACATTAATGTAATTGCCACAGACAGTTCCCACACTCTGCACAGCTAGCCTTACTACTTCCTTCATCACTTCCTACGTCACGGACCTGTTTCCTTCCCTTCCCATAGCATTTTAGGATTGCAGATACCTTAATCTAATCATAATAAACAGATCCCACACTTCGCATGTGTAACACACTTGTATGTGTTTTTCTATTTGTTAGATTTGTATGTTTTTTTCTTAGATATGTAGGTACTTAAATTGTTGAATATTTTATGTTTAATTAGATTAAGTTATCCCAATGTAACATTATTTTTGTTATATTTTGAATGTTAGGTTAAGTGTAAGAAAGGGCCATGTGGCCCTAACTTTGCCTGAAAAAATAAACAATTTTTAATTTCATTTCATTTCGCACTGCTAGCCTTTACTAGGCCTACAATGTATCGAGTAATCTTCAGTATAATCTATGCTCAATAGTAACAAGTGATGTTTTTCCTTTTGTACTGTATTTTGTAATATCAATGTGCTAGTATACTGTGGGTAGATGACTTATTATGAACACATGCTACAACTTCAAGTCTTTTGTTTACTTTTTCCTTGTTATTTAATTCAAACAACATGGGTACTTAGCAACCCATAAGACTAATGTTAAAAAAATGTGACTTTCAGTTTCATTTTTCTACGTACTTAGATTTTTGTTGGCAACTCGTTTTTAGGCCAGAAATAACTATTTACAACATTTGAAGAAAATTGTCGGAGCCGTTTTCGAGATCTTTTTTGCAAGCAAGCAAGCATACATACATACATACATACAAGCAAACCTTGCTCATATTAGAGTATAGGATATTGTTACCATGTCTTGTTATTATGATTTATATGCATCTTGTTTCTCATTTCAGTATTATGCCTTTTGCACGTTACCTGTTGAGCCGTGACTACTTTCCACCGACGAATGTCACAACTCATTTTCAGTGTTCAAGTTGTTTTTGTATAGTATGTGTTTTGCCATGTAACTGATCGACGTTCCCCAGTGATCTCTGTGCATCAAAACTTCTTCTTACTCCTGCCGTGCAATTGATAGGGAGGTTCCGAGACTACCATCAGGTTAACTTTGTGGAAATTTTCTTCATCCTTTAACATCACCTTTCTGTGTTCTAAAAATGCAAATTAGTTATTCAATTTCTTTTTTGTGCATCATCCTCGGAGTCATGCTGTAATTTTATTTTTGCCGATGGCATCTGATGGGGCTCCGGAGGACTACTACTTAAGTTCCTTGCGCGTCGGCGGAGAAACTCACCACCTGGGACTCTGGCCCCTTTCTCCGCCCAGCTTCATCGCCCTCGGGTGTCATGCGCCTGACCCGCCAAACTAGTGAAACCGCACTACTGCAAGTTTTGGGATACTTACTCAATTGTTGTGTTATTATTTATATAGACATTTTTGATTTATTGTTGCTTTTGCCAGATGTACTTTTAGAGACTTTTTTAAATTTCTAAGCACAGCATTCTAGTCATTGTTATTGTTTTTTTTTCTAATTTTATATCAACTAGCCTATTATCTGATTATTTAACTTATTTATTCAAATTATCCTATTTTGGGGCTCCTAAAATCTCAATTTGTTACTAAGACTATTTTTTTTTTGTAAAAGTATGTCTTAAATAAAAGGTTGTAATTTAGTAATTTATTTTTGAAAAAGAAAACTTTATTAAATTTTTTCAATGAATTTGTTTTTATAATTAAAGAAATGGCTGTGAGCCAGTAGGCTGGATGGGCAATTAACAATTTTTTTGGAGTGTCTTGAGAATGATTTTATTGGTGATGTTTTGTATGCTTATTCATTGTTATTACAGCTGATTTCTCCCAAATGGCGTGTTGTTCTTGGACCTTCCCCACGGTTTTTCTTGTTGTTAGGTAGATTAGTGAGCCGCTCCTTGTCCCTGCACGCTTCCAATTTGTTTGCCTGGGTGCAGGTGCAAGGGCCTGGTTCACTTTATATCCTATTGCATGTCTTCTTGTAATGCTAGCTTAATTTTGATCAGAGTCTACTTGCTATTTATCTTTATACGCATTATTATTATTATTATTCGTATGCATCTTGTGTTCACTTATTGTATTAGTATATATTATTGCTTGTTATCTCCCGAATGTAATGGTATCTATTGTACAATGGCTTTTGCCGTAGATAAACAAATTGAATTGAATTGAAAAGGGGAAGCACCATTATACCACATAAGTTCAGTGGCATTGTCAGCATTCGCCACTTTGATGTAGATGAGTCTGTCAAAAAACTTTAGTGTACATAGGACCTAAAGAGGTTGAACGGATGAATAAGATCATTTGCAAAATGATGATATTCATGATAATGTAATGACTAATATTGAAGTTTCTATACAAGATCCAAATGTGTGTGACTATCGAAAAAGGGTAAAGCAAAAGGAGCCACAACAAATCAACGACAAGATGTTGCTAATAAACACAAAAATACTAAAGTTGATAGAGCTTCGGTTTCAAAAAACATCCAGAATAACCCCGACTGGCTTACATCTGGATTTGTCTGCTACAGAACTGAATAAATGGAGGTAGATCAAGCCACAGTTCCGATGTATGATGATTTAATTTATTTCAAATACGATTACAATATAACAAAATACCCCCTGCCACAGCAAACCAGCATACTAAGCAAATTTTCTTTTGCCTGATTGGATTTTCACTTAAATATTTTTTTTTAAACATATCAAGATTCATTCGTATTGAAATAACATTAGATTTAATGAGTGCAGTACAACTAGTGATGTAAAATACCCGGGTATTTAAAACACGGAGTAAATACCCTGGTAATACTCAGTAATACAACCTAAGAGTAGTAATCAACGATCAATGGGTATTAATCGGACGGTTCTCTTTTGTACTGCATTTTGTAATTTGCTAGCTTACTGTAGATGGTTTGTCATAACCAAATGTCATTAGTCTTTCTTTATTTACATTTACGTTGTTTTGTTAATTGGTAACCATCATAGAAACCCATAAGGCCAATGTTAAAAATTTTAGATTAGTTTTAATTTGTACAGACATTATCAAATTGAAATTTGATTGTGTAATAACATGTTCACTGTTTGTCAAAAAACCCTGGAAAATTTGTCTTAAATATATTCAGCCGTTATTGAGTTATCTGATTACATAGTTTGCATAAGTTCTGATCTCAAAGAGCTTCGCTCTCTCCGCTCGATTAACAAACTAAGCTAGAAAACGAAATAATTTTAAAGTAAAGATAACCTCTCATAACGATTTCCAGCTTGTTTTCAATCCTGCTAAAACAGTTGTTTAGTAAGTGATTTACTTCAGTTAACGGTATATTATAGGTTCAAGTGATCACACTATAGTTACTGTTGTCATAAAACACAGTTTGGATTAACTAGGTACTCCCTTTACCATCTGTACTGAAAGATAGATATTAAAATTGTTTAACTAAAAGAGGTGCAAACTTTAGCCCACCTGTTTTCATTGCGTAATGTTTATATAGGTGATAAGTGTTATTTTGATTTAAGTTGTTCAATAAAAAAAGATGTCGGCATTGAGAGGCAGGTATACCAAGAGTCTCTTGATTGAAATAAACAAAAAATTCTTCAGCTCTCAAATCACATTTATTACAAACTAAAATTTATTGGTGTTAAAAGTGACAACATTTTATTAAATCATCAAGCTCTTCTTTAAAGAGTTCCCATTTTATAAACTAATAATGCTTTAATTAATTACATATAGCAATCAAGTTGTATTAAAATTCAACATCTTGTAAAAATTAAATTATTGACCAGAAATGATAATGTTTCATAAAAAACACAAGGCATTAACATCACTAAGTATCATTGTTACAAGGACATTTTACCTGTACAATCTAATGAGAAACTAGCATAAACCATAAAGTTGGCATTGTATGTTAATTCTATCATATTAGATTTTGAATTCGTCTCCAATGAGCCTTTTTATAATTTTCAGAGCAATAATACACTAGATAATTCATAACACAATTTAAAACTCAAGGAACAACACCATGAAATTGAGAAAAAAAAAACCACCATTAATCATTAATCAAAATGTCAATTCACAGACATAACAATGTTCATTAAAAAAAAAACTAGTTAAAATGATTAATTATAGGAATAAAGAAAGACTAGGTAACAATAACAGAGGTGGTAAACATCTTGAGTAGATTTGTTCAGTTGATTCAATAGCAGCTAATCTGCACACTGAGATCTTGGCCCTAGATCTAAATCTTTATAGGCAATTTCTTTAAAATGCAGAATTGACTCAATATGAGATCACTAGTTTTAATATTCTAAAAGGACATCAATCAGTCTTTATATTTCAGTCTTAACTCTTAATAATCTAATAAGAAATAATAATAACTTATAATTTACAGCATTAAATATTACAGTACAGTTGCACTGTTATCGCTACATTTAAATTCAATCTCTAAGTGTATTGAGGGTTGAACATAGATCAACTGACTTTATCTAGAGGCATTTTTTTTAAGGGATTGAGTTCAATTACCATCGAGAGTCCAGGGACTAACAGATTCACAATAAAGGGTCACAAAATATAATACTGATAAGCCGTCCTAATATAGGACTTATTTAGTCCTCATGATCAGATTTATCACCAATCTTGTCTTTAAAAAATCCTTATCAGCCACTTGGCTCAAAAATAGTTACTACTAGTAGTAGCGGGAGTGGAGTAGTAAGTCACCGTCAACCCAACTGACTCTAGTAATGAAATCTAAAAGGAACTTTTGCACCGGTTTCTGGAAAGGTATTATTGATATAGTGAATGTGCCTGGCATTAGGAATGTTTTCACGAGTAACTTGTCTTGCACGAATATTGCAATTACTAGTATGACCTCTGGTAAGATTATAATGAAAAGGAGCATGTCCTCCATTATTGTTATGGCCATGCTCTTCGTAAGGACATTTTTGAAATGGAGTATCACAGACCTGGCGGGGTAGTTGGCAGAACTGCTGAGTGAGTCGGTAGAGCGATCCGAAAGGGAAATAATCACTATCTCCAAGGTCTATCAGCCATGCTACCGCTTGTTTTTGTTCCTCGTCCACATCCGTCACATACACTCTGAACCAGGTATTGGCTTTAAAGGCTGCATAGTACTGGCCTACCTCTACCACCAACGCTAGGTCCTGCAAACAAAATAATCTAATTTAATGTAGTTTAAAACTATATTTTGTTAAGTAAGTTTAAACATTTAATCTAGTAAAAAGCACATTCAAGCAATGGTGTTGTCTTTAGTTTAAACTATCCGAGAAATCTTTCCTTTTTCCTGTAAAAATAGTAGGTATATATATTCTTGAGGAGATCTCGATAGAGTTTATATGATAAATGAAACATGAAACATTGTAAATTTTTGTTTAATACAAACGTTTTCAAGCAAAGAGAAATTAATGAAAAATGTAAAAATGAACAAAACAAATAAAAATATGAACTGTTTACAAATGGTTGAATTTTGAGAACATATGATTGAGTACAGATCAAAGAAAATAATAAAATCAGCCTAAAAGAAAATTAAAATTCAGCTGAGTTGAATCACTTTTTTACTGTCTTAAATTTTGTGGCCTTTTAAAAAAATTTAAAAGGCCACAAAATTTTAAAAATATGTTGGTGAGACCCAAAATTCAAAATTCTCGGTTTTCAAACAATTCTAAACATGGCTGTGAACCATGTTACAAGCCCCGATGTGGTATTTGAAAAATTATGAGTAATACAACTGAATTTGATAGTAAGTTACAAGCAAGATTTATCCGATTGTTGGTAGATCAACTTGTGAATCTCACAATGTGATTTATCAACTATCGTGTAAACATTGTCCAAAAGAATACATTGGCCAGACTTCAAACTCTTTAAGAGTTCGAATGACAGGCCATTGTTTTGATGTGGTACATGAAGACAAAAGAAAACCAATTTATAATCATGCCGCTCACCACAACCAAAATTTTGAAGGCTGCTATATCCTTAAAGCCCTTCACAAAGTAAACCCACATCAAAACCCTAAATGCAACTAACTGGTTTTAAGAAATTCTGAATTGGCTCACCAGTTGGTACTGAAGACAAAGTTCCCCTCCGGTTTAAATTTAAGATAGTAAAAAAGTGATTCAACTCCAGGGCCGGTTCTAGGAATTTTTCAGAGTTAAGCGAACACCCGAATCAGCGCCACTTTTAGAATTCCCCCCACCCCCCCCCCCCATACCCACAAACATAATAACTTAACCGTATTTGTGAATTTTTCCCAATCATTTTGGAAGAACGTTTTTATAAGTTTAGGTAGAAGAATACTTGCAATAAAAGAGTGTTTATTATTCGCAGAAATTTAACATTTATACACTTTTACTCATCATATAAACTTTAGCAAAACCAAGGCCACACTAAAAACAGGCCGTAATGCTCGTCAAGCATGACGTCACGATAGAAGACGGCAATGACGTAATGGTTGCCGTTTGTGATCAGCTGCTTGTTTTAATCTTTCCTTGGAAAATAAATAAATAAATACCTAAGTCATTGCCGTCTTCTATTGCGACTTCTTTGGGCTGACTGGACTGGTCACCAGATGATTTCTACAAAAATCTACTCATTGATCTGGCTTGTTTTTTATCTTCCTCTTCCAAATTCACCTTACGCTTTCAATAATAAGTGCCAGACGGTCTCTTTTTCTGCCAATGTTTTCTTAGTATCGGCTCGCAAGATGTTTTACTCATTCATTCAGTTTATACTTTCTTCATAAATGTGCTAATTATAAATTAATCTTAACACTTGTAATCAGTCACTTATTAATCATGAATCATCAAAACAATGCCAATACGATACCGATACGGTATAGGCCTACGTAAACAACTAAAAGAGTGCAACCCAACGTAATGCTCTGCTCTAGTATCAGAGGCAGAAGGGAGTGAAAGGAGGGGGATGTTTCTTGTTGTGACAAGTGGCGCTGCGCGCTTGCTTATCTCGAGTCGTGAAATGAAACCCACAGGTGCCGCGCTGGCGCTGTACCATTGACTATGAATCCTTAATGCCTGCAGTACACTATCGCCGAATGTAGGCGAACTAAGACGAACGCGATAGTGTACTCGGTGTGCTCGTGTACATTTGGGGTAGTTCGCATCGCCAACATTCGTGTTCGGGTGCGCTCGCTTTTTTGGCGGTCTCCCGTCGCGAATCAAAGGAGACGAACTAGGACGAATGCCGAGCGCAGACGGGCACGAACACAGCCAGTACACACTCGCTGTCATTCGTACTCACGGACGCTCTCTTTACTGCACTTAACTGCAGTGGTTGTGTAGTTACTTTTAGTTTTTGTTATTTAATTAGGCCTATTTACTACTAGATCTTGTATAGAAAAATTAAACAAAGTAGGTATTTAGTGTTTTAATTAGGAAACAATGTTATTTTTTAACTATAGGCCTACCATAGTGAGCCTGTTCTGTGACCGTGGGATAATTTAATTGTATATATACATATATAGAATATAACTTAAGAAAACAAACATTGTAATAAATACCCCCGCCGCAGCAAACCTGACGACTAAGCGAATTTCCATTTGTCTGAATTGATTCTCATTAAATATTTAAATAACATAAGGTTTAATGATTATTGTAAGACTAGATTACTTACGTCAATAGCTCATTGAATTTCATTTAATGTTTCAGTACATGTTTCGACACATTGTCATCCTCAGCTGAGTACTAGTGAAGTTTTTATTCACCATATGGTTTCGTCAATGTTCAATTAAATAACACATAACACAAATACGACACGACACGGAACATATACATTTAAAACACGTAAAGCTTTAGACATGCAGGCCTGCTCGAACAAAACACACGGTCACGCCTCGGGTCGGGGACAGACTGACTAGTGACTATTTGTTTATCCAGGCTTATCATTGTTATCACGGAGGCAGTGGACAGCTGTTTCTTTGGTAGGAATGATAGAATTGAATATCGAGTTGGAGCTAAAATTTAGTTTTTCATTCAGAACAAATTTATTTTCATCGTTATTTTTGTGAGCTCTGTATATTTCGTACTCCTCCAACGTGTCCAATTTTCTGCCCTTTTCACAAATGTGGAGTATTTCTAGACTGTCTTCTATTGTTCCAAATGAGTGGTTATTGTCGATTATATGTTGGCTGAATGCTGATTTCTGTTTGTTCGTCCTAGGGTTTGGTCTGTGTTCTTTAAATCGTGTGTTAAACCCGCGACCAGTTTGGCCTATATATATGCTCGGGCAGTCAGCACATTTTAGTTTATAGACACCAGTTTTGTTATTATTGTTCATTTTTGCATTTGGCGTTTTGTAATTCAGCAAGTTTTTTGTTTTATTCTTCGTGTTGAAGACTAGGCTTAAGTTGTTATCCCTCATAGATTTTTTCAATGTGTGTTGTATGGTGTGACTGTATTCGATACATACATATTTAGCCTTATTTTCATGGTTTAGTTGGCAAGTTTCGATGTTAGTTTTTCGTTTGTTCTTATGTTTGGTGATAAGTCTGTCCACTAAACTGTCAACATAACCATTTGCCCTAGCGATGTGTTTGATTATAGCTACCTCTGAATCAAAGTCGGATTTATTTAATGGTATACTTAGTAAACGGTGTATCATTGAGTTGTAGGCACCCATTTTTTGTGAATGTGGATGGTATGAGCTGGCATGAATTGTTTGATCTGTTGTGGTCGGTTTTCTGTAGATGCTAAATTCAAGTTTCGTGTCCTTCTTTTTTATGGTTAAATCGAGAAAGTTGAGTTGGTTATTATTTTCTATTTCAATGGTGAATTTCAGTTTTGGAGCTATTTTGTTGAGGTAGTTGTGGAGGAGGTTCAGTTGTCTATTGTTTCCATTGAATAACATTATTGTGTCGTCTACGTATCTATAGTAGAATAATATTTTGTCCTTATATTTGTTTTTATTTGAAAAGATGTGTTCATTTTCGATATGATCGAGGTAGATATTGGCTAAAAACCCTGATAGTGGTGAACCCATGGCTAGACCGTCTGTTTGTTGGTAAAATTTGTCTTCAAAAATAAAATAATTTTGTTTTAATATCTCTGTTAGAAGTTCCATTAACTCATTTATTGCTTGAGGTTCTAGGGTATTTGATGAATTTAGGTGGTTGTTCACAATCGTCAGAGTTTCATCTATAGGTACATTTGTATATAGGTTTACTATGTCAAATGAAGTCAATAACTGATGGGGTTTGGTGTTAAAACTCTTGATATTGTCTATGAGTTCATACGTATTTTTCAAGCTGTGATTGTTTTCAAGAATAATATGAGTTTTTAGAATACATTCAAGATGTTTTGCAGCTTTGTAAGTTGGTGCTGAGATGTAATTAACTAGAGGGCGGATTGGGGTGCCTTCTTTGTGGAGTTTAGGCAATCCACGTAGCGTTGGTGCATGAGGGTTCATCTCTTTTAGGCGTTTAATAATGTCGGCGGATAGAAGTGTTTTACTTTTATTTATAAGACCTTTGATCCTCTCTTGATATATAGGAGTCGGATCTTTGTTCAAAGCTGTGATGTTATTGTTCTCTATAAAATGTTTAACTTTGTTTACATACTCATCTTTGTACATGATAACTGCAGTATTACCTTTGTCTGCTTTGCATAGGATGGCTTTGTTTTCGATTAATTTACTTTTTATATTGTTTAACGCTAAATATTCACGTTTTTGTGTAGCTGATAAGTAAGAATTGTTTTCATATTTATTGTTGATTTTCTTTGAAATGATATGTCGAGTGACAGTTTTATACTCCTCATCAGGAATGGCTTTTATAGCGCATTCTGCATTGATCAATTCCTCAAAATAACCTTTTTTCCCAGATTTGGGTAAGTTATAGTTAAGACCTTTTTCTAATATGTCCATTTCATCTTGATCGAACACTATGTTAGTAAAATTGGTTGTTCTGGGGTAAAAGTTAAAATCGAATAATAGGATTTCTTCTTTGGATTTTTGTTTATTTATCAATAGATTGAGTTTTTTCCTCAAAGTTGCCTTCTTGTTCCTTATTATTCTAGATACAGAGCTGTTGATATTGTCTATGAAACATTGATATTGTGCTGGGTGTGTTGAGTTAGCTAATTCCAAATGTTTTTTGTATAGTAATGAGTTAAGAAGGTTCTTTTTAGAGTATAGA